CGTCGTGCCGTGGCAGCAGCAGCGGAGGTGAGATAGGGCGGCCGGGGCACATTTTTAGGGGCAGCATTCTGGCGCCGGCCATGCTGCCCCTAAAAATGTGCCGCCCCAAGCACCAGCTTGTTTTGCTGGTGCCTAGAACCGGCCCTGGCCGCAGGTAAGATGCTTCTAGATCTACGGAGCTGGCAAGACAAAACTCCCTGTGTAGGGCTGCTTCGTGACAGAGTGGGGAAGAGTAGGCTCCCCTCTGCTTGTTGAGATAAAACATTGCCGTCATGTTGTCTGTGACGACTAACAGCCTGCTTCCCCTGATCTGCAATAGAAATACTTGCACAGCTTTCAGTTCTCTGACACTGATGTGTAAAGCTAAGTTCTCGGAGGACCAGAGACCCGGCAGAGAACTAAAATGGGCTCCCTATCCGAGGACCGAAGCATCTGTCCCTAGCATGAAAGTTGGCTGTCGGTGAACAAATGGAATGCCTATCTAGGGACTTGAGGACATGGGAGGGCACTCTTACCAGGGAGTCCAATTGATGGTGGTTTGGTGGGTAGACAGATGCCAGCCAGCCCTGCAGAGTTCTGAGTCACAGTCTGACATAGTGAACCACATAGGTGCAAGAGGCCATGTGACCCAGAAGCCTCAGTTTGGTGGTGTTGTGACCAGCAGACCTACGACAATTGATCAAATTGCCTGGAACATGGAAGAAAGGCCCTGGCTTGAGATAATTCCAGTGCAGCCCCCATAAACTCTACTCTCTGGACTGGGTAGAGGAGATACTTTTGTGTGTTGATTAATAGTCCCAGATCATTGACTGGATCAGGTTAATGCTATGCACTTGCCATTTAGACCAGCCTTTGACAAGCCAGTCATCAAGTTAGGGATAAACCTACGCTCCTGATCTTAGAAGGAATGCAGCCACTACTGCCATGACTGAGAGCTGCTGACAGGTTAAGAGGGAACTTAGTCACAGTTTATAAGTACCTACACGGGGAACAAATATTTAATAATGGGCTCTTCAATCTAGCAGACCTAAGGCATAACAGAATCCAGTAGCTGGAAGCTGAAGCTAGACAAATTTAGACTGGAAATAAGGCATAAGTTTTTAACTATGAGGATAATTAACTACTGGAATAATTTACCAGTGATTGTGGTGGATTCTCTATCACTGGCAATTTTTTAAAATCAAGATTTGATTGTTTTCTAAAAGATCTGCTCTAGGTATTTTTTTTTGGTGGTGGGGGGGGGTTGTATGGCCTGTGTTTTACAAGAGGTCAGACGAGATGATCACAATGGTCCCTTCTGGCCTTGGAATCTATGAATAATCACAAAAAGTCAGTATTATGCAGTTTCAAAGTTCCTGCATGTTTCAATCCCCAGGATTTGTTTTTCACTTTTTTTCCTGCTACAACCAGTGTTAAAAAAAATTAAATCAAAGTTTACACTCACCCCTCTATCCTTGGGGTAAAACAAAAACAAGCACAAATACCCTGTGGAAAAAAGGCCACACACAACTAAAAGGATATATTTTTAAAAGCTCAGACCACTTTATAAATGGATCTTTTTCTTTAATCTTGATTGTATTGATTTTTTTCCCCTGGGAACAAGTGTTGGTTTAATTTTTGAGAAGGCAAACTTTTAAAAAGTTGTGAAATAAAACCCAGCCTATATAGTGTTCTTCAAATATTTAATCCGTTACTTATCATATACAGACCTCTCTAACCAGTCATGTATGCCTTTCTAATTGAAGAACAAAGAATCTGGATAAGTTTATGAGCAGATATAGGCTTGACTAATATACATCCTGCCTGAGCCCCGCTGCGCTGCCGACCGGGAGCCGCCTGTGTTAAGTGCTTCCCAACCGGAGACTGCACCTCACATCCACAACCCCAACACTCCGGGCCTCAGCCCAGAGCCAAAAACTACCT